TGCACAAGCCAACACTTTGTTCCTCTTTATTGTGGAGCAGTGTCACATGCAGGACACCTGGGTTGTTCCCAATTTTTGCTGGTTATAAACAGAGCTCCCATTAACATCCATGTACATGGTATGTTTGAACCTAAGTTGTTGTTTCACTGGAGCTGGAATTGCCAGTCCTAAGGTGAGTAGGTCTAAAACTTTAAGAAACCAGCCAGGCCTTGGTGACACACACCTGTAATCTTAGCACTTGGCAGGCTGAGGTAGATGGCTTGTCTGAGCTCACAGGTTGGAGATCAGCCTGAGCAAGAGTGAGATCCCATCTCTAAAAAAATAGTGGGGTGTTGTGGCAGGCACCTGTAATCCCAGCTACTTGGGAGCTGAGGCAAGAGAACTGCTTAAGCCCAAGAGTTGGAGGTTGCTGTGAGCTGTGATGCCACAGCATTCTACCAAGGGTGACATAATGAGACTCTGTCTCAAAAAAAAAATTCTTGTGGCCAGGTGTGGTGGCTCAGGCCTGTAATCCCAGCACTCTAGGAGGCTGAGGCAGGTAGACTGCTTGAGCTCAGGAATTTGAGACCAGCCTGAGCAAAGTGAGACTCCATCTCTACAAACAGCAAACACCCATCTCTTTAGCTGGGTCTTGTGGCAGGCGCCTATAGTCTCAGCTACTCAGGAGGCAGAGGGAGGAGGATCACTTGGGCTCTATCTCAACTCTTGAACTCAAGTGATTCTCTTGCCTCAGCCTCCCAAGTACCTGGGACTACAGGTGCTTATCACAACTCCCATATACATTTTTAGAGACTAGTTCTCACTCTTTCTCAGGCTGGTCTTTAACTCATGAGCTCAGACAATCCACCTGCCTCAGCCTCTCAAAGTGCTAGGATTATAGGCATGAACCTATAAATTGTAAAAAACAATTCAAATTGCCTTTGTAATATCCAGTGTTACAAACTTTAAAGCACATAGATGTTCAGGTAACTACCGCCCAAACTGGGAAACAACAGTCCCACTGCTCTAGTGACTCCCTGGAGCTTGCCCCTTTGTAGTCACCACCCTGAGACCCCTGGCACCCTTCCATCTTGTCTCTGACTTGACCGTTTTATCTTTCCAAGACTGTCCATAGAAACATCTAGCACATAGCCTTTCAAGTCTGGCTTCTTGCACTCTGCATGACAGCCTTGAGATTCACCTGTACTA